TCAGCAAGCCATACCCAACCCCAACGATGGCAACTCCCAAGACTTGAACCCGTGACCTTGTTACTTAGAAGTTCAACGCCCTAACCACTGCGCCATGGGCTAGTTGCCTTGACGGTTGCGATCGGGAATATAATTTATGGTATATGTGCGCTCACCGATCAGTACGGAACCCACTCATTCCATGCTTCTGGTGTCTCTTGTCTTTGCTGGTAATGTATTTCTGCCTATAATATGGTAGCCGTTGAACAGCTACTGGCGGAGTTCAAGAGCAAGCCCGAAAGCACAACGCATATTTACCATAATATAAATTAACTTTTAGATGGAAATATGGCATGAGAAGATATGTAATCAGGAAGAGGTGGACTTTTTTCGAAAGGTTTACATATTTATGCGTATGAGTTGGAACACAGGCATCCCAGTAAATATTATTTGAAAGTACAAACTTGACCGATTTTGCACATTTTCTCAAGGCTGACGGCAACCTGGGGAATCAGCATCGACCCAATAAATTTGCTTAAATTTCCTAAAGAACCTACTTACTTTCAAATTGTAATGCGTATTTTTTTGGTTTGGACGACAAGCTCGTCGGCGGACTATAGATGGTGTGTAAAAACAATTAACTATTTAACCGCAGCTAACAAAGGATTGGTGTGATAGGGTTGAATGACGTCTGCACCAATACGCGTTCATTTAATGTTGTCATTCCTCCGATAGGGATGTGATCGTTTGAATTTATCCTTAGGGGTGCTTTATGTGGCATCTCAAGTGATATACCGATTAATGCATGCCTCGTTTGTGTGTATTGCCTCCAGGCATTCACAGCGATTGCAGATTGAGCAAGTGCCGACAATCCGATTGTTATCCCACGCGCAAGTATGCCCTAATTTCAGCTTGTGAACCTGAGATAGATAATCTCGTTCCTTGACCGTGATCTGATGTTCCTGTATACGGGTTGAGACAAAAACCATGGCGTCACTAATAGCACATGGGATTTGGTGGACAGCACCTCTTCTATCGTGGTACCCAATTCTGTCGTTAGGGTGTACTAGCCGTCTTCGCAAGGTAGCTGTAGGTTGGTTATATATTCATGACCGTTGTCTTTCAACAAGCTCAGATACATTTTTCCACGCGTGGTAGAATTGTTTTTGTTTTTGTGCCTGGATGACCGTATCCTTCGCATTTTAAATCCTTTTAAACTCTTGATGCTTCATTCACTAAAGCATAAATTAACGTGAGTAATTTAAAGAAAGTAATTCGTTTGTGTCTTCTACCTTACTCCATTAGAGTATTGTGTTTAAGCTCGATTTAGATTGGAGGCATAACTGCTTTTGTGAGAGATGGGGTGGTTATTCTCAAAGTGTACGACGATCTCAGTATATGTTTCTTCGCAATAAGCTAATGTTTGGAATGATCTGTCGATTTGTCGATATATAAAAACATCCAAAATGGGAGTTTTCTCTCAAACTCTGTCACCAAATCTCAGTTCGATTCCTAGAAACCTCAATCTAAGTTTTGTGTGAGGCAGATTTAACTGCAGGAAGAGCTATCAGTTCTGGTTTCGGCTTTATGGCTTAGGCTGTTGTCAATTGGAAAACTTGATTTCTAGAAATAGACCTAGTTGGTGGAATAAAGCATCGCCGCATACATTAGTGGTGTGGACCTAACGTATGTCTTAAGTACAGGATCTCGCCAAATCCAGTGGAACCGAAGTGATGGACGAGACTTCATCAAATGAAACCATTATTTGTCAGTCAAAACCTTGAAGTCTTTTTTTTAATGTGAAAACACGTTTAGTGTTTTTCGTACAGAGCTTAACTTGGGTAAGTACCGACTTTAAATATTATAGTTGGCATTATCGAATAAGGAGACTATCAATCGCAATAGAATACTTGTTTTGTGAATTTATAGCAACGGTGGGTTCATCCTGTTGTGAGGTTTATACATGCACTTCTGCGATATGACGTTGTTTTCAATGCAAGAGTTTTGTACTTTTGTGGGGTCGGCAGACTGCTGTCATCATTTAAGCAGTGTCTGGATGATGGTGACACTCTCCCCCATTGTCGGCAGGTAGAATTATGATGTGATCGTCCTTTTCAAGAGTACTTAATGCGTTGAGTACTCGCGTCATTTCCTTGTATACAAAATAGACTGTCCTGAGTATCACCCGATGGTGCCGAGTTTAAAATGCACGTGACATGCACAAGTATCCAACAGTAGGTGCTACCTACAGGACGAGTTAGCGTGAAAATCGACACAAGTTATAACAGATTATAACAGATGGGACCGGGCCGCGCACGTTGAGCTGGACATACTTACCTCCCGACTGGTAGCCAGACGAAGGGCAAGGCTAGCAGTTATCGAGGTAGAACCTAGAGATGGCCGGTAATGAGCGATTTATGTGTGGTAGGCGAGCGTCCTCAGTGCCTGATAAGTTGTCACCGAGGACGAGGAAGCTGGCAGGCGCGTTCACATATTGGCGAGCCATCATGGTTTTGCGTCGTGTCTGGACAAGGGAATTCTTCGCCACGCATAAATGCGGCACCGTATATTCCTTAGAATCCAAGATAAGCTTTAAGTATATGGCCCCCTAAGCAGCACTCGGTAATAGGAATGTCCTATCCAAATAATGAGGGCAGTTTTGCGTATAATTCCATGGCAACATAAGTTTAAGTAGTGCACCTCATATACCCCTAGTCCTCGCATTTTGTCCTATGGAAACGGTGGTTATATGGGTTTTATGGATGAAGAATTAGGAAGAGAAGTGGAATATACTTTAATAACGGCTATATGCATTTTATTTTGTTTTATTTAGAAATGTTGTTGCTGTATATTTGTAGATTTTCCAAATTTTTCTTATCGTTTAACGTATCACGGAAATTTCTGATTATTAAATTGTACTTTTCTCGAAATTCCTGAAAAATAGACTGTTGGTTAGGAGATCGTCTACCTCAACGTACCCGAGATCCAACTTATCGTTCTGGAGTTAGATTAGTGTAGTCCGCAGCGCGAAGCACCGCGCACACCGCCAATTTACATGCGGAACAACATACTTCCAGCAGCTGCGGGAAACAAATTAATTACATTTTCCACTTTCCAATTACTTCCACAAATTTCTTTCACTGGATATCCTATTTCCCTACCCCCAAAGCCCCCGATAGTCACCGTTTCCGTAGAACAAGATGCTGGAACTAAAGGTATATGATGTGAACTACTTAAACTACTTTTGCCAATTCTAGGAAAGGTAAATATTCCGTTTTCATGACCCCAACGGTAGCTCTAACATAAATATAAACGTTTGTGATACTTTTAACCTTAAGCAATTCCATAGCCTTAAATTACGGTTAAAAATACTCATAAACTTAATATCAGAATTAACCAGAACCCCACCCCTAACTGTAAGGGCAACTTCATTCTTATGCGCATCTTTGACCTAACCCTGATTTTCCCGGAATTTTGCACAAGTCCATCTGCTTTGCAAGGAGCTTTTGGTCTTCCTTCTCGTTTGAAGGACGTGCATGTTATCCTTACCAGGTACATAACCGGCCGGTCATGAACCGAACAGGAGTCCCTCACCTTTTTGAACATTCTTGCACTATACAAGCGAACCTTTGAGCCCCAGGAAGGAATTGAGAAGAAGAAGAAGATTCGATCGCTGGGAAAACACTTTTCTGTTCATGTC